CTCTTTATTGGCCAGCTCTGCTAATGCTAATGCTAACCTTTGCTTAGCATGCCCACCCTGAAGTAAAGCACCAACCTCTGTGTTGTTTCTGAGACCTCCTGCAGGTGGCGCCAACCCCTGACTCCTCCTCCTCTCCTCCTCCTGCTTCTTTAAAAGGTTTTCAGTCTCTAATCAGAGAAGAAGTCGTTTCTCAGCTCCGTCACAGAGCTGCTACTCCTACTGGTGCAGAATCCTGTATGCCAACGTTGGCATGGTAACCAGACAGTGACACCTTCTGGTTCCTTTTTATTCTTTGAGTTTTCAGTTTCACTTTGTTTTTCTTTAGTTTTCTAGTTTTATTGGTTTAATTCCTATCTTGTGTCGTTCTGGATTTTATATTTGAGTTCTTAGTTTTGTCTTGGTTGCCCTCTTGTGTTGGTCTCCTTTCCTCTACCTCCTTCTAGACTCCTCTGTTCCCACCTGCTCCCAATCAGCTCATTAGTACCGTCTTTGTTCAGTCTCCCATATATACTCCCCCAGTGCAGCTCCTCACTGCTGCTTCCTCGCCTTTTCCTGCCTCCCCAGGTAAATTTTCTCATGAAGTCGTTTGGTTTTTGGATCCATTTATTTTGAACTTTAGTTTTTGGATTTTTGCCTCAGTTTATTAATCATATCTTCAGGAACTCGCCTCAGAACCTCAACCAAACCCTGACAGAAGGAAATAGTTTTTAACCCTTTCTAGGACACTCAGTGAAATACTTTTAAAATCTAAATTTCAAGCCAATAGTGATTTTGAATTTCCTCTGTAACATTAAAAAAATATGGATAATTGGATGGCAAAAATTAATGTCAATGTAATAACAAGAAACCAACTTTCCCAAATATATTAAGAAAAATAAAAGTATTAAACGCATTAATGTTGATACTGGTTCTTACATTTTTCAGTTTATAATCCTGAATTTAATTGTTAACGAGGCTTATTAACTTTTTTACTTTTTACCTTTTTTCTTGACTTGCTAACTTTGTTTTTTTTTTCCAAGTTAATTTATAGTTACATGTCATTCAGGGTTCATCTAATTGGTCAAATGCCAAAATCAGATGTGCAGCCATGCAGCAGGATCTATGCTGAATGGATGGATATAGATCTAGTGCTTCTAGACCTCACTGACGGATGGGGGGGGCTACATTTGTAAGGGGAATGCTTTAAACGCTAATTTGCCCTATAAAGGGTTAAAAAGGATTTACATTCTATAGATTTTTTTGTCATTGAAATTACTCCTTTTACCTGAACCACTCTAGACTTTATGCATTATTTTTATAAATGAAACTGGGCGCTTCGGCGGCGCAGCGGTTAGCACGCCTGACCCATGTGTAGACGCCTTACTCTCGATGCGGCCCGACCCCGAAACATGAAACGGTTTTAATGGGAATGTTTTATCTGTGAATAATGGTAAATTCAGAGCAGTGGGACTTTGTTCGGCTTTCTTTACGTTAATTGGTTCTATTGCTCCTGCTCCTCCTGCTCCTCCTGCTCATCCTGGTCCTCCTGCTCCTCCTGCTCCTCCTGCTCCTCCTCCTCTTGTCTGATGGTGCACCCCACTAACTCCACATCTCACTCCGTGGTTTGATCATGCAAC